CAAGTTGTTCACGCACCCACAGCAACTGTAGCATCTGCCGCCAGCACACAAGAGAAGGCCCTGAGATTGAGCTTGGAAAAGGCTAAAGACAGCACTAGGGATGTTTCGGCTGCCGCCAAAATCGGGAAAATACTTGGAGAAAGACTGCTGCTTCAGAATATACCTGCTGTGTCCGTTTTCTTGAAGAAGGATCAGAAATATCATGGCAAGGTCAAAGCCGTAATCGATTCATTGACCAAGGCAGGAGTGAAATTGGTGTAATTTTTTACCAACTGATAATCTCTCTCTNCTGTTTTTTTTTTTTACTCCAAGGATGGCACAAAATTTGTGAAGTGATAAATTAAAAAATTTCCCCAAAGGTTTGGATTAATACCTAAAAAAAACTAACAGATTAACGGGGCAACCAAAGAAAATAAATTTTGTGCAAAAATTATTAGAGTTCACTCGATGCTCATAAAAAAATGCCAAGGCAAAATTTGAACATCTTTTGCTACAGCAAAAACTAAAAGATATTCACAAAGAAACTAATAACACACAAGCTGAACTGAAACAATAACCCAAATAAAATAGCTAAAAAATGCAGTCTTTCACAAATCTACTACATATGATAGCAACACCAATAAGCATGGAAAATCCATTCAGTTCAATTCATAAATCTATGAATATAACCGAAGGACATGCCCACAATCTTTGACTACTGTATAATACCTCAAAGTACATATTCATTAGTCTAAATCCACTGTATATGGAGAAAAGGCAAGTGACCAAACCCAACCATAAGATACATCTCAAATATCAAATAAACAAGACAATATAGTAACAAAATACACCCATTATATATATTATATTAAGAACAGAGGGGGAAAGAGCCACACCTAATATATAACAAGAGCCACACCAATGACAAAAGAAAAACACGAAACAAGACACAAATAAAAGCCACACTAAGCATATTCACATCAAGCACCACAAAAAGTTACAGAATACTAAACTCAAATATGGCAGGCACACAAATACACAAAAAGGAAAATCGACCGTAAATTCCAAAGTCTAATTTCTCCCGCAACTAAATAGCCAATGCAACCACCTAATATATAACAAGAGAACCAAAGANACAGATATTTTTTTTTTTATTATTATTTTGGCTTTTGTGTACCTATTTCAACATTTATGACACATGACACAATCAACAACTGCTTTCAAATTATTGACAAAATTCAACTTCAAAGACATCAATAAAACTTTGTTCTCGGTGAATAATAACCCTTTGCCTATCAATAATGACATCATATGTGAGGCCAAAAGGGCCTTAACTGTCTCTATCATAAATGACTCTCTAAACTGTGAATTTCTGGAACTGAATGTTGGCCTACAAAAAGGTAACATGTCCAACAACTAAGAGCATCTCCAATGAACTGTGAATTGTAGAATTGTAGAAGAAGTTCAATAAAAATAGTCTCCAACCGTGAATGTCTAGACTCTACATACAATGACATGGCATGAAAGAGAAAGGATAAAATGCAGAAATCCTTATACATCTAGAAGGTCTGTCAGACATGATGACTAATTCTTTTCTCTTTAATTATTTCTTTTTTATTTTAATAAAATATATCATTTAGTTAAGAAAGAGACATAAACTGCCAAATGCACGTATAATTTCTTTTCCCTCAAATATATTATTTTACATATTTAAATTATCATTATAACTTTTTTTTTGCATATATTATCATTATAACTTTAACGTATATGTTTTTGTTAAAAGCATGCATTAACACATACAAGAAGGATACTCTTAAAAAAACACCGGACAAAAAAAAAATAAATAAATACCAAAT